GATCCTGTCGAAAAAGCGGCGTGTAGCACCAGCCACCAAAATCACCCCAGAAGGATACTCTGCTCAGTGGCACGCAGCCCCCTCTCCCCCGGAGAGCTCCCTAAATTAATTAGACCTTGGACGGGGGGCCACAAGCAAATCCTAGGCTTGTAGACGAGGCCAGGAACTTGATTAACACAGGGACGATTTCATTTTGCCGGGCGGGGGTGGAAGCACTTGGCAGCCTGGCTCTCCCCGCGAGAAACAGAAACCGAAACCAAGTTAGACATTGGATCTGAACTTCCTGCGGTCCCGGAAACCCTCCGGACGGTGCGTACGCAAAAAGCCGCCACTGCAGCAGTGAGATAATATTTACTTGCTACTCTTTTGCTTTTAATACCTTTCTATCCCCCTCCCCTTTTTAAAAATGTTTCCAGATATTGGGAAGAGAACTTTTATTTAAAAAAAAAATCATTCTTTTTCTTTGCCGAACAGGCTTATTCACCTTGCCGCTGTGATTCTAGGAAGGGATGGGGTTAACCCTCACCTTCCCCAACTCGGCGCCCTCCAGATGTATTAAAATGAAGCTCACGGCTTTCCCCTGGGGGCAGAGAGTTGTGTAGTGCGCCGGGCCTTTGGAAGACCTCAAAGGGCCAAAGAAGGCTGTTTTCCTGGCCTGGCTTGAACATGGCATTAATCTGGAATGTGTGAACCCAACGTTTTTTCCCCAAAAATTATAGTTTATCATATTATAATTATGTTCATTGAGCAAAGCATGATTAAAGGAATTGTGGCTCGTGTGAGCTGCTTGCTAAGCGCCCAGATTGTGATCACATGACTGTGGGGGTGCTGCGACGGTTGTAAGTGCGAAGACTGGTTGTAAGTCCCTTTGTTCAGCCCCGTTGTAAGTTCAAACGGTCATACACACACACACACACACACACACACACACACCAGGGGTTCTGCAGCAGTAAGAGAGAAAGGAAAAGAATCTGAGCTAATAAAAAATCTCTCCAGGCCAAATCCAGAACTTAATCATTAGCTCAGGAGGATTAAGCAAACTTTGAGAAGGTCCAGAGATCAGCTCTGCAGTTACCAAAATAGCTGCATTGTGAATTGGGCTTTCAAACGGCATCCTTCACAAGACTTTTAAAGTTGCTTGCTGACTATCCTGAGGATCTTCACCCTGTGATGATCATCCTTAGGAGCAGCAGCAGCCAAGGCGGTCCAGTTCCAGATGTTTGGTCTGCCTTTTAGGTCTCCTTCCCTCTTGATCGGTATATCCTGTCATCAAAATATTCATTCACCGCCTTCTCTCCTTTTCTCAAAGGATGGAGGAAGACTTCGGATTCCTGCTGTGCGAGGGGTGCCAGAGAGAAACCACGAACCCCAAACTTCTAGCCTGCCTGCACAGCCTCTGCACCGAATGCCTCAAAGAAAACAAGCCAGTTGCGCAGTGTCCTGTGTGCGACAGTCCCATCCAGGGCCCCGACCAAGTTCCGCTTCAGGACAATCTGCTCTTTGCGAACCTCCAGGCCAAGCTGAACACCTACCAGAAGATTGCCAGGGATCAAACGGTGGTCTGCAATTTCTGCAAAGGTGGAGCAGAGTTTTGGTGCTCGGAATGTGACGAGTTCCTTTGTCTGAAGTGTTACGAAGCTCACCAGTGGTTCTTAAAGAGGAAAAGCCACGAGGCCCAACGGCTGGCTGACCTGAGGAAGGAGACGGCCCAGAGTTTTCTGGAGGGGGCAAGGAAGTCTTGTAGACTCTTTTGTTCTGAACCCACCCACAACAATCAGGTCATAAGGTAAGGGTGTTCCTCATCCAGGGCTGGCCAGCCTGGGGAGGTGGGAGCCCCCCAAATCATGGATGTTTTGAAATTCAATTGAATATACTTGTCAGCCCTTCAGGGTAGGCGAGGTCAAGAAATAGGCATGTCAGGGCCTCCAGAAATAGAAGGTAACCACATCTGCATATCATTTGAAAGACATACCTGAAAGTCAAGGCTGACTGGTCAGCCACCACACGTCTGGTTTAATTTTCCCACTTGGGAGGAGGAGAAGGAGAAGGAGGAGGAAGTGGAGGAAGGGAAGGAGAAGGTGGAGGACGAGGAGAAGGAGAAGGAGGAGGAGGAGGAGGAGGAAGAGGAGAAGAAAGGAATTGGAGGAGGAGTTGGAGGAGAAGGAGAAGGAAGAGTTGGAGGAGGAGGATGACGAGAAGAAGGAAGGGGAGGAGGAGGAGGAGGAGGAGGAGGAGAAGAAGAAGAAGAAGAAGAAGAAGAAGAAGAA